AAAATTAAGAACTTTAAATGCAATTAAAATATGGTGTAAAAAATAAAAATTGATTACCCATTATTTTTTGACTAATACGAGATGAATTTTTCCTTTTATTTTCAAGTCAAACAATAACCAGGAAATTGAACAAAAATCAGACGAGCCCACAAACAGTATTTTACGTAATATAGAAATATATATTTGGAAGTTACTTAGTTACAACATATGTGCCCGAGAACTAAACTCAAACGAAGTAATAACCAAACCATTATCCAAACTCTGCACTAAAACTGACTCATACAACTTTTTACCCATTATAGACTAATCAATGATCCAAATTAGGACTTCTGCAGGACAGATTTCTCATAGAGAGCGAGAATGTCCTTTTTATTGGGATTCTTCAATTGAAGCAGCTCAGCACCAAAATTGTGTTTGGTAAGCTCCTGCTTTAGTTTCTGTACTGTAAACTTAGTATAGTCCTCCGCACTGGTTTGTTGGCTATCGGTTTGTTCATCACCTCTGAATACAGAACCGCCATCTTCCGGACTTGAAAACTTCAGAGAGCTAGTTGTACTTTTCGACCTCTTATTTCCTCTGGTTTCTCTGTCATTTTCACCTGTATCCTGAACCGAGTCGAAGGCCATTCCATAGTCATCTGTCCTACCACGTTTGCCATGGGAAGCGGTTCTTCGTTCAGAACCACCATCTTCCGGACTTGAAAACTTTAGAGGGCTAGTTGTACTTTTCGACCTCTTATTTCCTCTGGTTACTCTGTCATTTTCACCTGTATCCTGAACCGAGTCGAAGCCCATTCCATAGTCATCTGTCCTACCACGTTTGCCATGGGAAGCGGTTCTTCGTTTGCCATCCAATGTTTTTTCGTTAAATCTAAGAGCAGTTAATTCTTGTGAAAGTTCGTCGAGCTTTCCTTGTGTAACTTGCAACTGAACAGACAAGGCCTCTGCCCTGTTGTTTGCTTCTGCATGTGCAGCACGCTCACTCTCCAGCAGACTTTCAAGTACCTGAACTGTATTCTTCCTCTGGTGATTGTTTGATTCCAAAACCGAGTCAATTTCTTTTTCACGTTCTGCAACTCTGGCCTCCAACGTTGCGACTCTAGACAAAGCATCCATTTCAGCAGCTCGATATCTATCTACTTCATCAGATAAGTCGGCCTTTTGCCTCTCCAAACTTTCAAGTTGCCTCTCAGCCCTCTCAATTTGTGCCAATCTTTCCATTGCTATTCGTTGAATCTCACTCTTCTCCTGCTGGGCAGTGACTGCTTCCGCTCTCACTTTATCAGCCAACTCAGTTAATCTTTTAGCTTCTCTGTCAGCTGCTTTAGACCTGTCCAGGACTTCCTCAAATCTATTAAACTCGGCTTGGTACTTCTGCTCTAAGTGAATCTTTTCCTGCTCCAGCATCCTAGCTTCTCTTTCATATGATTGTGCAGAAGCATTTGCACTCTCTAACTTCTGGCCCAACTCCTTGATTTGGAGCTTTAAGGCTGATATTTCTATATCATAGTTCGTAATCTTTGACTCAGCAGCCTGCAGAAGGCACAGGACGCAATGGACCAATACAAATTATCATAAACAAAATAATGCACTTTAAATAAATGCAACCCAGATTACACAAACCAGCTAATCCTTGTTACATTTAAATCTACATAATTCTGAAAGTACCAACAGCACATTACTTGTATGTAGCTTCATACCATTTTAGATTTAATTAGCCAAAATTTCATTTAGAAGCCGGCCTACTATTAGCTGAACAGGGTTCCAAAAACCATGTTAGATTAAAATCTCTCTCGGGGGAATGGAAGTGGGGTCAGTGCCAGGATAAATACGGGTACAAAAAATGGCATGCAACCAGCTGGAAACATAAGAGGGCTGGTGTTAGGATGCAGGTGTTTAATTTCGTTTGGAGCGGGGGACAACTTCTCAAACGTACTTTGACTAGTGAAATTAGCTGAAAATCCTCGAAATGTGCCAAGAAAGAGGTGCCAAAATATGGGGTGGGATCTACCATTACAAAAATAAGTGCAAACCTGGAGCCTAGTCCTTGCTTCAAACAATTGTAATATAAGTCAGCATTTGCTCTAATTATAACATAAAACTTGATGAACAGATCTACTGTTCAAATCTACAGAATGAAAACTAATTGCGGACCCTGACAGAACAAATCTAAGGACTGTATTTATCTGGTTCGACAAGAATTATATGCAATGCATAATAAACACACCAGAGAGAATATAGTTGTCATAATCTCACCTTCAACTCCAAACTCAAAGTGGTCAAACGCTGCTCAGCTTGCTCAATATTAGATGCCTTATCCTTTATTTCCTTCTCCTACCATTCCACACACAAGAAAATAAATCAATAAACAGGATATCCACCTACTCAAAGAGGTAAATTTGTGTACCAACACCTGCACCCACCCACAGAGAGAGAGAGAGAGAGAGAGAGAGAGAGAGAGA